GACCTTTTCTTCCAAATCTTCAATGCTTGTAGATTTATTCAAAGAACTGCGTAAACAGCTTTCAACCTCCTGCCAAAAGTTCTCTAATGGGTTCAAGTCTGGGCTCTGCGGTGGCCAGGATAATATGGAAATACCAGCATTATCAAAAAAATCTATAGCTTTTCTGGATTTGTGAGAGGGCGCATTATCTTGTTGAAAAATACCTTTTCCATTAGGAACTAGTTGATGTATAGTGGAGATACCATATTTTCTCATAAGTTGTGTATATACTTCACCAGTTATATGGCCATGAATTAGAATAATTGGTCCTAATCTATGCCATGAAAAACAACCCCAAAACATATGACCAGGACTACGACCCACAGTAGGAACAAGACACGATTCATCAAATTCTTCAGCAGAGTACGCCAAACTCTGATATTATGACTTGACGAAAATTGTCTAAAAAAAGACTCATCTGACCAGATGATATTTCACTATTGGTGTATCAACCAATATAGGTGATCTTTAGCCCAAGCATATCATATTTCTTTATTTTTTTTAGAAATTAGTGGTTTATGACAAGCAACACATGAACGAAGACCAGTTTTTTTCAAAACACGACATATTGTAGAAATGGAGATGGTTTGATTTTTTTCCTTATTCTATAATTCTTGTATTTCATGAGCACTTAGACAACGATGATTAGTATCTTTTATAACAAGTCTTTTAAGTTCTTCTAGTACGGGTGTGTCAAAAATAGGCTTTCAGCCTGGACGTTTTTTCACTATAGTAGTTCCTGCTTCTGTATGTTTTAAGATATCATGAACTGTAGTCTTTCTACATTTAATATTTCTAGCGATAGTTGAATATGATTCACCACGATTGTGACCATACAAGATCCCACTATGTTGTAAAGTGATTAATTTTTTTTCTTGGCTATTGAATTATAAAAACCTTAAAGGTTAGAATTATTTTTCAAAGTTTTTTCCTTTTTTTATAGAATTTTTATTTTAATTTAGTTCATAGTATCATAATATTTCAGATTTACTGTCAGATATAGTAAGTTAAATTTTAATTTATTAAACTTTATAGTCATAACGAGTTATTATGATTGGTGTATACTAATTAATATTATAAAATAGACGATCTGCTATATTATAATTGAAATAACTTTAACTATTATATACTATAGGTTAACAAATAAGAACTTAGTTTTGATGTAATTTTAGTCTAATAAAATGATTATAGTATTAGGTAGGATCTTTTTTTTTATTTTACACTTTATTTATATATGTTACTATTAACATGAGTGCTATTTTTAAAATTAATATACCTGCACTTGCCAAACCCTGGTGTCGCAGATACAAATAACCATAGTTGTAATATGATCAAATATAACTCAACAATACATAATCTATAGACAGTTCCTATAGATTATATGATGATCAGAATTAGCATTAGTATCAGGGTAGACAAATTTTGGCTGTTTTAGTCAATAGTGCTACTGTATAGCGCTGCATAAAGTACCTGGGTACTATTCAAGAAAGCCGGCCTAGATTGAATAATACCCCAAAATATTGAGAGATAAGAGGATAATACTGTTATAGAACAGTTTATTATTTTATTAGTTTATTATTCTGATATTGTATTTTATTATTTATTTTATTATTA